GTTTGGAGTTGCATCGTCTGCAGAATCATTAACTTTCGCCAAAGAAATTTTTGCACGAGTAGAGCATAAGACTTCTGGGCCTAATGTGAGTGATCGAGTCTTCTTTCCATGTGTTAACTGTTTCTTTTACCTTTTGAAATGCTTATATAATTCTCTTCTTTAATACTTGTTCACTGCCAGGTGTATCAACAACAAGAAAGGGAGGCTGCGATGCTTGCACGGAAGCAGAAGACCTTCAAGCTTTTGGAGGCGGATGATGAGGATGATGATGCGGTTCCTGTTGCTTCATTGCCTAGAAAGGAGGAAACTCGAAGCAAGAAGTTCAGGAAAAGAAGTGAAACTCAGGATGACTTGGATGACGAGGTATATTTTCTTATACTCTTGGTCATAATGATATGATAGAAGTTCCTTTATTACTAAGCAAGTTGGTTGACTGAATCTTATGCTGTATAGACTGTGAAAAATGAAGGAAAAGATAGACGAGTAAGAAGCCGGACGTCACATGACGAGGATGATAGTTCTGAGGTACTAATATGATTTCGAGCTGTTTCTAATTTGCTTTTTACCTATTTACAATATGTAGCATGGGTACAGTTTTGCCTATGATGGAAGGCATGTAGTTGCAAGAGCACTATAAAATTGTTATTGGAAGGGCTGGGGTTAGAAAACAACCTGACTAAAAGTGTTTAACCATGTTAGTGAGTTGAAGCAGTCCAGTTGTTACATCTTTTCTCTACTTATTTCTTTCCCTTTTTGGTGTTCTTAATGCGTTATTTATGATGAGATTTCATTTTTGGTTGCAGTCTGAGGAAGAAAGGCTGCGTGACCAGAGAGAAAGAGAAGAGCTGGAGCGTAAAATTAGAGAACGTGATGCAGCAGGAACAAGGAAGGTAACTTATTTCCAAAAACTTATTTATGTGCCGCTGTTTATTAAGCAGACTGTTTGCCTCGGGGTTGGCTTCTATGTTACAATCCATTTTATATTTGTAAGACAGTCGAGATATTTGAAATTGGCCTTCTTATGATAACTATTTTTCAAAATTTCCGTCAGTGTTAGCAATTTTTTGCCATGGCAGTGTGGCGTAGTTGATTTATGCCTACCGCCATCAGAAATTTGTGAAGGATGGGGGTTATGGCGGCGCCATAGTCCGTCATGGTGGGATTTCAGATTATCGCCGTCATTTTTTCGCTGTTGCCATTGATAGCACTGATTTCCTTATATATTATTCCGTGTTTTGTATACAAACATAATTTTCTCTGTGCCCCTTGATCTTGATGAGACAATTTCTCTGCCTTTTTGTTCTTAGCCTCTATTGTCCATTAGCTTGTGGTTATACTTGTGGTTATACTTGTGGTACAGTAGGAGAATTTGTAACTTGAATTCTTAAGCTGCTCGGCTTATTCTTCTTTTGTTTCATCGTTTGCAGATAACTGATCAGAAGTTGACAAAGAAGGAAGAAGGTAAAATCTTATCTATATAATATGTTACTTTTATCATTTTGCTTAGGGTTGAACATTTTTTTTGAATATGGATTAAATTACTAAGGGTTACTGTAGCTAGATCTGCCTTTTTTTTTATCAATGAAGCCTTCATTATACATTATACACATCGACCTGCGCAACTCAGCTAATTGAACTCCGTAAAATGTTTAGCTAATTGATTTTAGCAGCAGCTGGCTTCTTGTTGTTTTATCTGCAATTTACTTTTTCTTTGTTGTTTGGAACCTTTTCGGACTTTTGAGGTTTTTTT